TTTGTTATGTGTGAACTGACATTAATACCACCAGCCTCACGGGTTCCGAGACCATTCAATAAGACGGTACATGCAGAGCACCTTCCATCATTGCTGACACGTACACGTGACTTGCTGTCCTCCTGTGGCTGTGGCTGTGGCTGTGGGGAGGGCTGTTGTCAGCAGAAGTGCTGCCAGTGTAAGTGCTGTTGTCAGAAGCAATGCTGCTGCTAGGTGGCCCGGCCTCCTGGCAGGTGCTGCAGGGGGTGGGATCACTCCTGTGCTAGACATCCTGAACTTTCATCTCTCTGGTTCACCTACATATTGAGCTTGTGATTTAATAGAAAGATACCTGATTAGAAGTCAGAAGCCCCCAAATCAAGTCCATGCTCTGCCAGAACAGCCTGATTATGAATGTCACCTTAGCTTCCCTGAGTTTTACTGTCATACTTACTCATCTGTAAAATGATAAGCTTGAGCTAAGAATCTCTAAAGACCTTTATATTTTTAGTGGTATATGAAACTATTGAGTTCTCAAAACTAAACTCACAGGTTCTCTACCCGATAGACACTTTTACATATGTTGGCTGTACTGGCATTTATATATACACAGTATTTATAAAGTACATACATAAACATCTCTCAATCCAACTCGATCTATCATTGTACTGCAATAAGAACAGGCCACAGCTTGCTCCTTAGGGTGTAACAATTCACGTTAATGAGCTCGGTGGAATGAAATAATGATTTTTAATGTATTTAATTCTTTTGAAATCTTTACTTTTCTGTTTGTAGAACTCCTGCACTTGTGTTATTACTGACCTTGGTTATATACTGTATGCTTCTTACTGTTTTAGTATTTTCTAATACTCCTAAATATAATTTCTGAATAAAACACCAAGAAAAAGAATTTCACTGTCTTTGATTTGTTTTTTATGTTGTTTTGAGGAGGGGTGGGAGCTGCAGACTTTAGGAAGGTTCTAAGGTGAAGAACAAAAGGATACACTGAATGTATTGAAGTAGTGCTACCTACTGTAACAAATTTACACAAAAATGTACAGTGACTTAATAGAGTAGACATTTATTTCCTGTCCATATCAAATATCCTGAGCGGTTCTGGGTGGGCAGAAAGGGAAGGAGTTGGGGAGCTGTGCTCTGCTCAGTCATTCAGGGATCTAGGTTGATGCGTATTTTCACCATATGACTTTCAAGGTAAGTTTGTTGTCTGCAAAATGTAAGTGGAAAAGAAGAGAAGGGACAACACCCATCACTTCTTAACACACTGCTGACGGATCACGAGAATTCTCGTGTTTTCTGTTCTAAGGCTTGTAGCCAATCACAAGAATTCTTTAAAAAGATATTTGTTTGTAAGAACATGTAATAAATAACTTCAAAATGCAATGGGTATTTAATTTTAAAGCATGCCTTTAACATTTATGTAAAATGTTTTTTCCGTTCAATAGAAACTTATCTGGCCACTAGGCAAAGCTAGCAATAAAACTACTGGTCTGCAATGTGTTAAGATCCTTAGTGTGAAAGTGACACAGTCTATTTCCCTCACTTCCCATTGGTGAGAAGTAGTCACATGGCCCAATGTAAATGCATGAAGAGCTGGGAAATGTAGTTCATGACTGGCAGACATTTTCCAACAATTATCTCTATATATAAAAGCCCAGTGACTGGAACAGCAGAACGACCAGAATAACCAGAACGACCAGAACGACTGGTGGCTATGACATGCACTGCAGTAGCCAACCAGCCCTGATCATTGCCCCCCCTGAGCCAGCCTGGACCCCAATCGGCCCCCAATACCCTATCAGGGGCGGCGCCTGCTGCCAACTATCTGTGGCCCCTCCCCCCCTGCCGGCCCTGTCCGATGGACCCCCATCGGGGCGGGCCAGTTGGACCCCACCCATGCACAAATTCGTGCACTGGGCCTCTAGTCTACTATGAAAAGTAAAAGCATGAATGTTGATGGACAAGTAGCTGTGTCTGCATATAAAACCCATGTCCTAATAAAACCTTTAATGGGAGTGTATTTAGGACAGGATGCCTGACAGAACATGGCTAGGCATTTCATACCTATTCATACCACATAAATTCCTCCTGGGGTAGTAACACAGGGTACTGTGGTGCATACTTGATGCATAGATGGAGCTACCTTAAGGTCATGTGAATCTTTCATGGGGTGGAGCTTCAGAGATAGGGGTTGAGAAGATAGAGCAGAAAATAGCAGGAGCTACCTTCTTCTATACAGTGTAATAGGAAATGCGGTTCCTGATGTTTGGCTATAATCCTCACTGCTCCCAGGACTATGGTGTGCAGGGAGCTAGGCAGGGGAGCGATGGGCTTAGGGAGAGGATAAAACAAGATGCTTTTGTATCACCTCTTGTTTTCACCAATAGTACAAATAAGACTTGGCTGGGACTCCAGTCTTCCTCATACTAACTCTTTCCTATCTCTTAAAGAAACAAATCTTTCTAATACTCTTGAAGTGTTCTCCTTGGAACTAAACATGTAGTTTCAACTTGTTTTTAAAATGTTACATATCATTCTAGACATGCAAGTCTAAATGTCCAGACATTCTAGATATCTAAGATATGTAAGAAATACAAACATAATTCAAATTATTTTAAAAGGACCTGTTACATGGTCATCCCAGATAATCTACAGAAAATTTTCTTCATACAGTTTAAACAAGATCACTATGATGAACTGTCTTGCTCAATATCCATTTTTATGTCCTTCTAGCTAGGTTGCCTTTCTGTATGGCAGAAGCCAAAATGATTGAAAATTACATTTCCTAGAATACTCTAAATCTAAGCTCTGGATATTGCAACAATTAGATCCACCCTTGAGAAATGTGGAAGACAAAAATGAGGTGGAAGTCCTCTTTCTGCTACTTTTGTCTGTTGCTGTTAAGAAAGACTGGAGTGTTGAATTTTCTGCACTGCAGCGATGTCCCTGGGTCCAGTTACTAGTTTCACGGAAGTGAAGAAATAGTTGTAGTGTCAGCAGACATCACAGGCAGTGCTCCAGAGTTTAGTCAATAGCTTTGAGGGTGTGTAGGGACAGGAGCCACAACAGTGGCAGTGGCTTCCTGGACTGTAGCTACAGTGGTGTGTGCTTGAACTCGACCAATTTCCATGCCTTTTTGACTACTGCAGAGGCAGCAGCAGCCTGGACCATTCAGCATTCCTGTCCTGTAAGGCATTCCCAGGGGACAGGAATAGAAAATGCCCCAGCAGCCCTCCTAACAATTTTGTATCCATATCCCCCAATTACTTCATCCCCTTGCTTAGCATAGCTAGGAGAGTTTTGGTTTTCTGCACCTGTCAGAAAAACCCTTCTGACCATCTCTTTGTGTCAAATTCTAGCCATCCTCCAAAACTGAGAGGAATCCTAGTTCCCAGCCCATCTCGAGAGAATCCTTCCTTTTTCTGAACTCCTTTTGCTGCTTCAGTGTGGTAGGGGACAAGATATTTGTATATTTCTATCCTTGATTTTAGGAACTTACAGTTTTAACATTTTTGTTTGCAAACAAATGGAAGCCCACTTACAGTAGTATAAAGGGGATAATTTATTATAAGAATGTAGAGGCATCTCACAGAAAACAAGGACAGGACCTGCAGTCAGTAGGTGTCTACCTGGAGTCATTTACTCCATAGAGTAGAAATAAGAAAGTAGAAAGCCTTTGAGAAACCAGGCAGCTACCTTTTCTCTGCCTCCATGTAGAACAGGGGTGGGGAACTTTTTTCTGCCAAGGGCCATTTGGATATTTATAACATCATCAGAAGGCCATATAAGATTATTAACTTAAAAATTAACCTGCTATATTTGGTCAAACATTTAATTAACTCACCCCTAATGCCTTGGCAGGGCCAGACCAAATGATCTCCCGGGCCTTAAATGGCCCGTGGGCCAGATGTTTCCCACCCTTCACACTTCCTGCACACCTGCGTCTTCACCATCTCCTCCTACTCGTTTCCTGCAGACTGCTTGTTTCTCCTGGTGCAGCTCATTAATTTATGATATGGTAGTCTGCAGGTTGCCTCCCCAGTACCCTCTGTCTCCGACTTTTGTAGGATGGGGCGCTACTCTCTAAGACCATTGTACCTGAACTTACAGATACAGCATTTGCCGAATCTGTGCTATGGACTGGGATGGGAGGAAGGCATGGTAAATATTAGAGCTGCCTAAAGTTCATTTTGCTTCTGGATAAAAGTTGGTTTATATTTCATCACCCATTTGAACTGAAACATAACTGAGTAACTCATTTGGCCAATAAAGCATGAACAAAAATGCTCAGACTGAGTATGTGGCTCATCATGTCTTTTCACTCTGCCTCTACAATTGTGGAAGCCAGAATGGAGATGATGGCTGCCTCTGTGAGTATGGGACTCTCAGCAACTACCATGAGCAGAGCCCCCTTGTCAATTCATGATGAACAATTAGCATAAGTGAGAACTTTTGTATTTAAAGCCTATTGCACTGACATACCTTTGCTTGAGAAGCTCACAAACTAGTAGAAAGACAATTGGGAAGCTTGGCCTAAAAATATTCTGTAAATGACCAAGTAAGTACTTAGGGTTTAAAGAAAATAAAACATCATCTCTCCTCCAGCCTCTCTCCTATTCCTATGTTTGATTCTGGTGTCCATATTTGAACACTTTCAGTCTAGTAGCATTGACAAAACCTCCCACAAGTCCTAGTGGGTTACCTCTAAATGAGTTAGTCTGCAAGACTGGAATAATATGACATGAAGAAATTTACAATTTTGTGTATTCCCTAAAATTTTGACTAATCAAGAACATTTGCAGCAGAGGAAATACTCCCCCCCCCCCACCATCTCCTATTTGTTTTCTTGTTAAACAATTTCAAAGTAAAGAGCTTCACTACTTGGTAATGTCAACACAACAGGAAAAAATAGTTTATGTTAACTGGGTATTCTTGCTTTTACTTCTATAAGGTACACTGGTAAAATATGTTAGAGGAGCATTTTTTAACCCCTTCTTCCTTGTTCTTAGTTACCATCTGCCTATTTTCATGCATACATTTATCTAACAGAAACCATAGACCTTTTCCCCGCCTTCCTTTCCCAATCTCATCATAATATAAACTTATCTTTACTTCCTGTCCTCACAATAAGGTCTGCCCTCTTGGACTCCAAACCAACTCCCGAAATTAAATTTCATAAGTGCTAAACTTTAACTAGGTTAGGAGGCTCAGGATAAAGGCAAGACAGTGCCACACAAACAGCCACTTGAGCAGCATTTCTAACTGGACCAGGACGTGACCATGACCTGCTGTGAAGGATGGACATCCTGCAATGGATTCAGCCTGTTGGTTCTACTTCTGTCGGGAGTAGCTCTCAACGCAATACCTCTCATTGTCAACAGACTTGAGGAAGGCGAATTTTTTAAAAACCCCATCTCTTGCTTTGAGTGGTGGTTCCCAGGAATTATAGGAGCAGGTCTGATGGTGAGTAACTTTTATTTGACTCGATGTGGAGAAAAGTGCTTTACCGAAGTCCTATAGACCATCTTTCAGACTTACAGTGAGCTGAGCTGTGTCTTGACTTAAGATACAGTGAGGAGTGGTGGTATGGTATTCATTTATATTGGTTATCAATGAGGAATGACAACTTAAATAAATTAAATATGTGGTACAGGCTAGCGAGCTTGATCAAAAAAAGATTAAATTTGATAAAGGTTGGTTGGGCTGCCCTGGCCAGTTTTTCTCAGTAGTTAGAGCATCAGCCCAAGGACTGAAAGGTCACGGGTTTGATTCCTCAGTTGCAGGTTCGATCCCTAGCCCTGGTCGGGGCTCATGTGGGAGGCAACCAACCAATGTGTCTCTCTCATGTCGATGCTTCTCTCTCTCTGTCTCTCTCCCTTCCACTCTCTAAAAATCAATGGAAAAATATTGAGGGTTAAGAAATGAAGTTGGTTGGGTTATTACCTAGCACATTTCTTTGCACTAGGGCTGCTCTTCCAAGTTTTATAGTGTTAGGGAACTTTTGAATGAATTCCCTCAACTTTCCTTTGCTGAAGCCATGATCAAGGTATTCACAGGGAATACAGCAGGTGTGGGAAGCGCTCAGTAGGAATGAGAAGAAACATTCTGGATGATGATAATTGTGCAGCATGAATATGGTGTTGCCTGCACCAAAGGGAGTTGGCCTAAGAGATTTGGGACCTGAAATTCTGGCTCTCTGACCTCAATGACTTCTTGACTCAGATCTTACATATACCAGGACATCATGGTGCTTGTTGAATGTTAAGTTTGATAATTATTGATCGGTCTATCTTTGTTGATGTCTGCAGCAGAGCAGTGTAATACATAACTCTCCAATGTATCACCCGATAGATTTATAGACCCTCTCCTGGGAATTCTGATGCAGTGGCCTGGGTAGGACCCACCTGTGGAGAGGAATAAATACTGTTTTTGGACCTGGCAGAGAATCTCAGCTCTAATTATGTCTCTAATATATTTCTCTTTGCAAGTCACTTATCCTATGATTTTGTTTCCATGCTCATAAAATGGGGATGTGGATACTGAAGTTTGGAAATTCAGCATTCAAGAGGCTGCTTTTGTTTGTTCTACCACTTGGGTGCTACCTAAAGGGTCTGGTTAATGTCAGAAAAATGAGCCTTTGTTTAGATGTGTGTTCGTGTGTGTGTGTGACAGTTCAATTACCTATATTATCAAAGTGTTGTACAGATGCTGAAACATGGAGATTTTTAAAGAATTTCCAGACACTGTTTTCTGCCTGCATCCCTAATTCTTAATGATGATCAGTGACTACTGCTGGTCTTATCCCCAGACTAATGTGAAAACACTCTTGAGTGGTTATACATTAATCTTTAGAGAAATATTTGTTCTTCAGCTCATACACTGGACTTGAGACTACTCTGGCTTCAAAAAGCCACTCCAGTAAAGCATCCCCCAAAAGTTGATGGTTTCTGTACCTTTAATATCATGAGCAATATATTCACCCTGCTTGGTAGAAAGAGGTACTTACAGGAAAAGCTTTGAGGAAATTGTGGACTTTTTCTTCAAATTGCCACAAACGTTCTCTTTCAGGCTGAGAGAAAGCACAGAGCCCAACACAGTGATGCGACTGCAAATCTTGTCTGCTCTGCCCTTCCAGAGGCTTCTGTCTACTTGAATAGTGTGAGCTTCCTTTGCATCGGCTTAGACAGAAGCCAGGCACAGCTGGCCAAGACTTACCAACAGTGGCAATTCCCATGAAGCTCCTAAAAGTTCCCATGTTCAAACAATCCATTTAGAATGACTCGTGTAGCTTTAGATACAAATGGACTTTACCACAATACAAACAGATTTCTTGCCAGCATTGAAGGAGCCTGATGAAGAAGGCAGGGAGCAGGGGGTGAAGAGGACAAAGGCATAGAGAAAGGCACAGAGACCACTGCTAAGTGCTAACTACTGGGTTCATGCTTTACACTGTTATCTCATCTACTCTCTATAATAATCTGGCTGAGCGGTTATTACCAACTGTATTTTAACAGATAAGCAAACAGAAGGTTAGGAGGGTTAACAAGATCACACAGTAGTTGTGAGACCCAGTTCCAGACTTAGATCTGACTCCCAAGTTCTGTTTTCCTCAGGATTAGTACCATAATCCACCTGTTTCAGGCTAACCAAGGGGGATGGTGCAATTCATAACTTAATCCATAAACTTAAGTCACCAGGAAACTGAAGCACAGAAAGGTTCTATAAACCTGTGAAAGTTCCAGAGAATCTGCACTTCCTTGTTCCGTGACTAAATTTACTTAATTGCCCTCCATAAATATTAACGAAGAGTATTACACAAGTCTATCTCTATTACTCAGTGTGGTAGAATGCCATCAAAGCATCAAACAACTCTTTGAAAAGTTCAATAGGCACTTTACAGTGAACCTCAAACTCTAGACTAGGTTCACAAGCAAACAGGTGGGTGACAGAAGGGCTCAGAATACAGGTGTATTTTCCTGGTCCTCAGCTATCTATACTCTATAGGGTTTTAATGGTCTACAGCTCTCCTGTCCTTCATTATAACAGATACATCTATATTTATGTATAGTGTGGAAGAATACCTTTTCAAAGGGAATTGTGTCCTTTCCAACATCTGTCAAAATACTGAACTCTCAATATACTCGTAAATACACAGAAAAGTGAGTAAAGAACTGTCTGTGTGATAAACACTTTTGTTGTAGTTTTTGAAATCTTTCCAAAATTGCTTTAACATTTTAAATTGGTATTGCTTCAAAACCAGATTTCGTGGGAAGTAGTAAATAACAACAACTATGGAATTAATTACTGATTACTTTATAAAATACATTCATTGTGTTTTTATGACTTACTCAAAACAGGTGAATCTTTTTATCTTTTGAAATCATGACTAAGAGTGTTATGCAATTATCTTCAACTATTTTATGTTAAGTGAAAAAAATCAATAAATATCATCTTTCATAGCACTAAAAAGAGACTTAAAATGTTCCTAAGAAAACACAGGGGTGGGCAAAAGTAGGGTTATAGTTGTAATACAAATACATTAGTACATAATCCTATCTAATAACAGACAAACATGGTAATTGACCATACCTTTGCTATGCCTCCCATTGGCTAATCAGCACGATATGCAAATTAACCGCCAACAAAGATGGCGGCTAATTTGCATACTGCAGGCAGGGCGGGACAGCGCCATACCCCCTGCCCTGCCGCCATCCGGGCCTGCTATCTGCGACCTGGGGCGGTGGGTGTCCGTGTGCGACCCGACCCGGGGTG